CAAAACTCAGCAATGACCAAGTGTCAGTGAAATAATTGAAGCATTCTGCCTGGCTCCAATCTCTCTTCCCTACTCTTCTGGTCTTTGTCCCATAACAGCTGATCTAAAAACATCTGCTTTTATGCAGGACACCTTCCAAGCTCTGATTGAAAAATTGCAATCACAGTGGTTTCTTTACCTGTGTTCTTCACATTGTGAAGTGATGGGAGGTGAAAACTGTGAATTTGCCCTGCGCACATTGAGATGAATGCAGAGTGTGAAAACAAAAGGAGCTGCTGCTTCCATTCATAGAGGTAGTCAGTTACTTCTTGACTTCCACATAGCCAGTCATGTGGCTTTCCATGTAGCTAGTGATGTGGGTACCTCAGCAGATTGAGTGCACCAAATAGTGTCGTGTTGTGCTCTTGGGTCAGCAAGATCTATTCTAAGGCAAACACAGGAATAAAAATGTGTTATGTAGGTAATAGAAAACTTTAATCCTCAAAAAGAAAACTGTAACTCCTCAATCCCAGTGAGGAATCCTCTTTCCATTCCTCTTCTGTTTACCCAGGCACTTAGGCAATTGCTTAGGCAATTACTGTACAAATATAAATCAGTGATGAAACATGTATGGCACCTGATATTTATTTATGCAGACAAACATGTCATTAAGAAAAAAAGATAACTGCTTAGTCTAATTTCATATTATGCAGATTGCAGGAGCCTAAAAAGTACAACAATTGTGTTTAAATTGTCTGCAAAATAAAGGATGCCCTATCTTGTCCCCTACTAATAACAGTGTTTGCTGGGATGTAGCCTGACACCCTTCACACCTTGGCCAACCAGCCAAGCTGGTGAACTCCGTCACATGGTTTGCCACCATTTCTGTTTCTCCAGAAGGAACTTGTCCTATTGGACTTTAGCAGAAATTGATGGTCCATGGAATCCCCATGAAGGTTTTGGCAAAGCAGGACTATGGAAGGGTAACACCAAGTGATGCAGTGAGGGATGTGGTATTGAAATACGTCAGTTTGGGGCAATAGGATATGTACTTGTTTCTCATCTACATCAAACAGATCAATCTGGCTTTTCAATTTAGTGATTGCATAGATTTGTGGATACCAGTGATCTTCAAATTTGAAAGAAGGAGAAGATTACTGCTTTTTAAATGCATTTATCTAGGCAAGAAACACAAAAGACACTGAAACATTCTAACACCGTAAGGTATTGAGCAATCTACATGGCTTGATATCCACATAATTTCAATATTCCAAAGGTAAAGTAGGCTTGGATTCTTCCATAAACCAGCTGCCATCTGCCTATTAAATAAGAAACATATTTAATGACAATGGGTGGTAGCAAGGATGATGAAAGTTTTTCCAGCATTACCTCCTTGTGCATCAGTTCAACTAGGTTTTTATACACAGTCATCTCAATTATCTTCTTTATTTATTTTATTTTATTTATAAAGTTCCAGTTTTCTCACCAACAAATCTGGAGCTGAGCAAGGAAGAAAAGGAGAATTATTCTAATTCCTCTTCTTTGTTCCAGTCAGGAGAAAAAGGAGGTGGCAAAACTCAAACTTTAGTAGAATAATTCTATGAATTGTCTGTTGGATTTTTTTCTCAGGACTTACCACATCCATCCCAAATCAAGAAGTTTTTATCTTTTTTCTCTAAAAATATATCTATATCTATATCTATATCTATATCTATATCTATATCTATATCTATATCTATATCTATATCTATATCTATCTATATCTATCTATATCTATATCTGTATCTATCTATATATCTATCTCTATCTCTATCTATCTCTATCTCTATCTCTATCATCTCTATCTCTATCTCTATCTCTATCTCTATCTCTATCTCTATCTCTATCTCTATCTCTATCATCTCTATCTATCTCTATCATCTATCTAGATCTAGATAGATAATATAGATATATCTATATAGATACTATAGATAATATAGATCTACATCTATATTATGTATATCTATATCTACACCTGTCTATATTTGTATCTTTAAGAAGATTTTTCATGCATTAAGTATTATGAAACTGATTGATGATTCACAATTAAAATTATTTGGTGATTTAGTCCAAAACTTGCTGCTGAAATGTTGGTAAGATGATGCACTAAAACTTAATCTCTATTAAAGTGATCAGACCAGAACACCCATGTTTAAACATTTATTAAAGAAATATTTAGATTGGGTTTTATATGCTATGGTGCAGATATAAGCTAAAAATTTCTTTCACTTGAAACACAGTATATTAGCTTTTCTAATTAATTTGCAATATTGTTAGAAGATGGTCCTTATGACATGTAAACCAAGCATACCTGATTCTAAATAAATGTTCCTGCTTAGTCAAAGTAGGGAGTATGGAAATAGTAGAAGAATGTAAATTCTGGGGTTTTTGTTGTTGTTCTTGTTATTTTCAACTACTAAAGAAACACTTTTCTCATCTACAGCACTAATTTTACACTATATACAATTCCATCTTTTTCTGTGAGAAATGTTCTAAAAACTTTTAACCAAAAGGAAAAGAAACATACTAATATTGCATAAGGATGGTTATTTTGAACCAGTTTGCAGATATTTTCATACTCAGAGACCACAGCAAAGGTAAGAATGTCAGGCTTGAACATCAGCTACATCCTCCAGCCCCCAGACAAACCAAACTCTGGTCCATCATGTCACTATGGTGCTTCTGTACTATAACAGAACCTGTGGGTCAAAATCAGAGTTGAATGTCACTGACTGCACAAAATAAAAAGTAAAATGCCAGCTCCTATCCTATCTATGTAGATGTTCTACATTTATCACATGATCTAACATGTTTCCATCTCAGGTAGCTGGGCGGTGGGATCCAGACTGTCTTTGCCTTTACTAGATGGCTTGTGCAAAGTGACACTGCCCTGGGCATTCCTGTTCATGCTTTTCTCTCCCTGCATGCCTATTTCTCCTTTTCTCCTGCAGGAACAGGGACAGGTCATGTTGCAGTTGACATTTTTGCCTCTAAACTATGTTTAGCCTATTTATACTTGAGCCCTTGACTAGTGCTGGGCTTTCTTCCAGCTAAGTATTTAGAACAGACTCTAAACACTAACACTGTGCTTTGAGTTTTCTATATTCTAAAAGCGATAATAACATGTTGTTAGACTTGCTGTGCTGCTGTTCCTAAATGCACAGCTCTGTCCCATCTTTCTCTGTCTGACTGGAATAACAAGAGCAGACCGGTTTCACTTGCAGGTTCTCACTGACAAGTACATCATTATTATTCTTGCCAGAACAGCAGTATTTTTTTCATCATTATAACTGTTAGATTCACCTCATCATCCTTTCACCCTTTCTACCAATAAAAATAACAACAGACATGAAATGTGTCCATTAAGAATAGTAGGCTTCTCCATAGTATCACCAAAGAACTGGGATACTGTGTTGTCCAAAAGTAAGGAAATACAGTAATTGATGTGATGCTTTTAATGATGACCTCCTCGTAGTTTTAAAAATTTATTTATCTGTTTTTCATGTGAAAGTCATAGGCTTTTTAGCATTACTTTCCACACTTTTATTTTTCCCTGGGTCTAAAGATTACTGTTTTATTAGTAAGAGAGACAACTGAAGAAGCAGAAATGTGAAACTTGTGCATGGTATAGAAGCAGTAGGATGCAAAACTGGCATAGAGATAGGATATATTTATATAATGAATTTTTTTTTGAGTTTAATAACACCTTGTAAAAATGCAGTTCTTATAAAATTTTCCACAAATTATCTTAAAGCAAGTATGGACTGTAGAAACAGCTCTGGACAAGTGCAGTCCATATTACTCCAGAAGTTGTAACATGTAAATCCTTAAAGTGCATCTTTGAAATATACATAAATTCTTAGTTAAAACCTCATCAGTACAAAGCTTATTGGCATGGGTAGAAACATTTTGGAGATAGGGGATTTCTTTCTTTTCCTCTTTGTTTGGTTAAAGTGACATATAGCACTAAAAATGCTGTGGGGATCCAATTTCAACTTTGAGGATTCCAGAAGGCCTTCAGTCATGACAACAGCTTGTCAGATTTTTGTAATGTTGGAGTCTGGCTAGAAAACAATAATTTTGTCTAGGAAAACACTGACAATGTCTTTTATTGCTATATTCACCAGATAGTTTATTTCACATTTAAGTGCAAAATTGCACTTTCCAATAAAAGCAGGAAAGAGCAGAGAGATGATCCCACGATAACAAAGTCTGCACTTCAGAAACACTAGGTGTTTCCAGGCATGGGGGCAAAGCTGGATCAGCTACCCCATGGGGCTTTAGCCCCAGCACCTGCCTGCAAGCCCAGTCCAGTGCAGCCGGGCAGTCACAGCCTCTCTCCTGCAGCCCGGCACAAGAAATAATCACAAGAAAACTTGTGATTATTTCTCTAAAGTGGAGTATCTCCAGCAGAAAAGTGAGGATAGAGAATGGCTCCACAGTCATTGTGGTCTTTTGTTCCCAATGAATCTGATTGGTGTGGGCATATGCCCATCCTTCTCATCCCACAGAATTGCCCTGACACTGGTTCTTCACGTCTGTGTTTTTGCTGATGTTGTCAAAAGCATGCCATTCCTGGAAAATAATCAGCTTAACCAACTGTCATTTTTAGATGGAAAAACCGTGTCCTCAAAAATGCTTCTACCCGCTGTACTGGGCACGTCTCATTCATGCACTCAACCGTGTTGCTTCAGAAGGATTTTTCATAGCAGCTGGTTTTTGTGAAACCCTCATCCCCATGATTTTAATTGGGGAAAATAGTAGCACAAAACTGAGGGGGACTGCTATGAATTCTTTGAGATGTTTAAGCTGCCACTCAGAAATCAGACCCTATAAACACAAAGCTACTACAGACATCAAGGTGGCCAGCTAATGTAAAAAAGCAGTCTTAAAAAAATTGGCATTTTTTCTTCAGATTTCTCAGAGTTATTAGTGCTGATGACATGTCTGCCAGCTTTGCAGAAACAGGAAACTTCCAACACTTGCCCATGGAAATTTTTATAGAATTTATTTTATTTAAATAGACGCACATGACAAGTATCATAAAATATTTCTGTCTTTGTACAAATACAGAGCAAAGTTTGCTGATGCCTTGACTGATCTGACAGAAGCATATTCAACTAGGGGAGGACTTCAAATGAAAAAAGAGGATAGGAGAGGTGTCCATCTCCATTAGACACTGTCTTGTCAGGAATCCTTTCTCGCTTTGGAGCAGTACTAAGGCTGAGGAGAGCAAACCAGCCCAAAATGGGGAGCTCTGAAGATCCCCTGCCTCCCTGCCAAACACAGCACTGCTCCAGAAAGGTGCCCCTGGGAAGCAGGAAGGGCTGGCAGAGTAAGAGAGGCAATTTAGGCTGCTTTAATAGTCTTTTCACAGAATTGCTTGGTAATTACATAAAATGTGCTCTGATTCAGTATTTATATTTAATTGGATTTATCCAGGAAAATAATTTTGGATTTGGTTTGACAAGGTCTGAATTGCAAAACAAGCTTTGCAACTATATTAATCAAGTCAGCCTGCTATGAGAATGACAGCCTATTTTACCACAGTAGGATTTTTTTGTTAGTAGACTTAAGTGCTAAAATAAGCAGAAATTATGTGCTTATTCTCTAGGGGAAAGTATAGCACAGTGTTTTCAACCCCTTTGAAGGCCTTCTCACAAAATCATATAGGTGTAAGCTTTGTCAGAAGCTCCTTGAAGCTGAGAAGTCAGCATCAGAACTCTTCATGCACAGGTCCGTGGAGCAGGCAGTCATTCTCTTCAGCTGCAGCTCATCTGTGTGGGAAAGCTTAGTTTAGGCATAGCATCTTCCTCTACTAGGTGCTTGGGAATTCACCCATCAATAGCCATGATGACCTATGGGAAAAGGGTGTGTAATATTCTCAATTTTGAATACTTTATGATGCTGGGGCAGTGTGGCTGGAGAGCTGTCCAGTGGGAAAGGACCTGGGAGTGCTGGTGACAGCAGCTGAACATGAGCCAGGGTGTGCCCAGGTGGCCAAGAGGCCAATGGCATCCTGGCCTGGATCAGCAATGGTGTGGCAGCAGGACCAGGGCAGGGATTGTCCCCCTGTGCTGGGCACTGGTGAGGCCACACCTCGAGTGCTGTGTCCAGCTCTGGTACATCACTGCAGGAAAGACACTGAGGAGCTGGAGTGAGCCCAGAGAAGGGCAATGGAGCTGGGGAAGGGTCTGGAGCACAAGTCCTGTGAGGAGCAGCTGAGAGAGATGGGGGTGTTTATCCTGGGAAAAAGGAGGTTTGGGGCGGGGGGGCTTGTCACTCCCTACACCTGCCTGAAAGGAGGCTGTAGCCAGGTGCAGTCGGGCTCTTCTCTCAGGTAACCACTGACAGGACAAGAACACTGAGTCTTAAGCTGCACCAGCTTAGGTGTGCATTTAGGTTGGACATCAGGAAAATTTCTTCATGGAAGGGGCTGTCAAGCACTGGCATGAACTGCCTGGAGAAGTGATGGTTGCCACACCCAGCAGTGTTCAAGAAATGACTCAACATGCCACTTAGACCTATGGTTTACATGAAAGGGTGGTGTTTGGTCAAAGGTTGGACTCAATTATCCTGGAAGTCTTTTTCCAGCACTAATGGATCTATGAAAGCTGTGGAGCAAGAGTCTGTGAGTGCCTCAACAGGAAGTAATGCTGCCCATTACCACTAAAGATAAGATAATACCATAACTGCTGCTGTACCATAGTAAGACCTTATGTAAGCACTTATAATGGGAATGTTTGCAGATTAAAAAAGGTCTTTGCCAAGGTCCCTACCTTAACTGAAGGAGTAATCCTGTTAACTTCACGCATTTACTTGCTAAATACAAACCACTCTTGTGAAGATAGTGTATATTATTTAGCCCTAAACAAATTAGAATGTCATAAGGAGGTTGGTAGGTGAGGAGATCATTAAAAGATGAAAAGGGATCACAGAGTTTGTTTTGAAAATTTGTTTGATTATTCTTTACAAGGGTACAGAATGGAAGATCTTCACATTTTTGTTAAAAGTAACCCAACCCTGTGCTAACGTTCATTTTTGTAGACATAATAAGCCAATTTATGAAAATACCTTTGATTCCATTTCCCTTCTGAAGAATGGCTGCTGTGTATCCCTGGGTCACTCTTCTTCTGTAGTGCAGATACATCTGAGATCATCTGGAAAGCCTCTGTATGGAACCTGACAGCCTTCTGGAGATATCTGTGCTCCTTCCACACAAACTAGACAAGCAGCAGCTAGAAAACAAAATCTCTTTCAGAAGTTTAGGTGCACTGGTGGCAATGCAAAATAAAAATAAGAGAGGGAGAGTGATGATTTCCATTTGAATAATGGTTGCAGCTCCTCATAATATTCTGTCTAAAGGGATGTTCAAAAAGTTCAAGCATATTTTTTTACTATACAATAAGCTATAGGTGCTCAACAGGGAGATAGAAATAGAGAGAAATAGAGAAGTTAGCACTCAGCCCAACAGCATAGCACCTTCTGCCTGTCCCATGAATTTTGTAGTTACTTCAGCTGAAAGCACTTTGAAAACTGGATTTATGTATATTCAGTAACAGTTGTTCATATAAGCATTTGACAATGACTGCTAAAAGCCCTGCAGTCTGCTTTTTACCTGATTTATCTGTAATCAGGTGTTTAGCACTCTCAAGCTAGAGAGGTGTTACATATAGATACTTCTGCCAAAAGTTTGGTTGAGCATTTTGTTCCTTTATGAAATTTTCTCTTTCAGTTCAGTACAAAGCAGGGATTTACTTGCTGTACATTCCATTCCTTCGCCATCACTGGCTGCTCACAGGCTATCACCTGCTACCCATGTTGAGAGTTGTAGTGTTTTTTGTTGAAATAGGCTTTTAAAAGATATATAACAGTTTATTTTAATTCAGTGAGAAACAGTATATCAGATCACTTATTTCAGTAAGGTATGAGCCTTGAACCAACTTAATCAATGGTACAGGGAAAGAATATAAACTTAGGTTTCTAAAGAAGCTGACAAATCAAGTTGGAATTAATAGGAACAAAAGATATAATCTAATTTTCTTTCTGTACAATTACTTTCTGTAATTTCTGGATCTTTCTTTGAAGTCCACATTCTCTTGTAATGAATATTGTTGAAGATGCAAGATAACAAGGAATTATTCCATAATATATAATAGAGGTATGTTTTTATATATACTAGGCATACAACTTACTGCATTTAGGTTTTTAAGTTAAAATATGACTTTGGACATTTAAGGCAATATAAGTAAAAAGCCCTTCAAGGTAACTAAGACTTCATTTTAATTGAAGATTTACTTTATTATCACATTTTTATTAAAATAATTCTCAGAAAAATTAATTTCCTTCCAAGAAACAAAACACTGAATGAAATGCAATTCTGAATCATGTGCTAAGATACCCAGTAGTGGTTAAATTTAATAAGTGAGCATTGTGTCTAATGGGGTCAGTTGTAGAGCTACTCAATTAATGTACCCTTGTTATGGTGGAGTTAGTCTGAATTAAATGCAAACTACCAAGAAGGAACTAGCCATTTAATCAGTTCTGTTAAGAATCTAGTTTTTTTACCTAATACTACCTAAAGTTGCTGCATAAGGATGAAAATATATCTCTTTGTAAAAACAAAAACTTTATGTGAAAGACTGAAAAACCTGTTTTACTACACATGTCCAAACAGCAGGCAAATTTTCTTCAGTATTGGCTTAGCCTAACCAATTTATATAAAAAACAAAATAAACAAAAGGATGGAGCCATCACTTGAATGAGTGACTCTGCCAAACTAACACTGAAGAAATCTTGTTAATTTAACATTGTTGACATGGGCAGAGTGACAAAGCAGCTTGCAAAACAGAGTGGGTGAAACAGAAAATTTAAAAATGCTGTAAGCTTTAAATAAAACATAAAACCATTTTGTGTGTACGTGTGTGTGGGGAGCACCATTACACACAAGTTAGTGTTTGATATATGGCATATAATTGCAGGAAGTAAGTAGAAGGTGCCATGATACCTGTCAATTATCAGTGTGCAGAAAATGAAGATAACATACATAATTCATCAGCATACTGCCCTTTGTTGTTAAGCCAACTGATTTGGCTCCATAACTGCTTATTTAAAACAAGACATTTAAATTTAAATGAAACATTGTTACCTTTTTAAAATGTGTTGTTATTATTATTTCAAAATCAGTTATTACACTGATCCACATGCATGTATATTCATTTCTAAATGCTAACAAGGAAGACTACAACTACTTTAAAATTGCTTTTAAAAAGGTATACAGGTAAATTCAGATTTATTTCTGTAGCATTTCATTCTGGCTGCTTGAAGTCAGATGGATCTTTAGGAAAAAGCCTATAGCTTTGTTTAAAAAAAAAAAGCCTATAGTTTTTTTAAAAAACTCAATAGCTGCCAAAAAAAAAAGGCAAAAAAACAAAACAAAACAAAAAAACACCAAAAAAAAACCACCTGGGTATGAAGACTCTGCCTGGGTATGAAGACACAACAATTCAACATTCAGAGGGAGACAGACCTGAGAGATAATATAAATTTGTGTACAGTGCCGAAAACATAAAGAAGAATCTTACATATTTTATTTATTAATCCAGAATACAAGAAGGAGAAGACTCATTGTGAAATCAAGAAAATATCAAAGAGATATGAGAAAACTCATCAAGGGAAAGGCATCCACATAAAAACAGGGTGTTCCCAGTTGGAGTTCACTTCCACAAGATGAATGGGAACAAAAAGCTCTGTTGCATTAGCAGGATTTCTACAAAGGTTAAATTTTAGGAGTGATGAATGTATTCACACCCATATATAAAGGAAGCCATGGATGTTCTCACTGTGTATAAAGTTCCAAAGTTCCACTGTGTACCAAAGCTGGTACATCTGATGAATGCATTTCACTTAGAGGAGATTGTCAGCACTTGTCTGTGCTGGGTTTGAGTCTAGACAAGTAGATGTAATGTGCAGCTAGAATGCAGTAAAACCCTATGTTACTGCTATACAAGCATAATAATTTTCCTAGATGCAAATTGTTTTCATACAGAAAATTATTTTTCTAGGTAGATTAACAAGATCTAGTAAATCAGATCACATGAAGAAACACATGACATGAAAATAATCTGAAAAGGAGAAGAAAAGTAGTAAAATGGGCATGGGATCTGTCCTTTCCATGTAGGCTGCAGTTAACCAAAGTCTCCCCCTGGAAGCCAGGTAGTCTGATCTTGGGCCTGGAACCCTTTCCGAGCTTTTGCATTTCCATTACTGGCCTGAATGAGGCCTTGAATGACAAAAGTCTTTCTCACAGCTGAAAGAGAAATTCTATCAGTTCATCTTAGGGAAATGTTTTGGGTTAACTTTTCAAAAGACTGTTAATGAAACTAGCAAAACAAGAAGCAATTAATTACATAAACAGGACAACAGCCTGCAAAACTAGCTTCCTGGGAGAGGCTGACTCCTATCCCCATCTCTGAAGATGCCCCTGGAGCCCAGGTACTCTCTCCTCAGTCACTAAGGTGTTTATCCTTGCTGTGTGGGTTCTGGAACCAACTGATTACTCAGTGGCTGGGGTAGCCTTTGTCCCTTGAGGAGCAGTTTCAGGTACTGCACCTCGTTCTATATTTTATTGTCCAAACTCACCTCTGAATAAGATGTGGTCTATTTTTTATAGCAATTCCATAGAAATTCCATATTTAATATAAGGTTTTGGATATGATGCTTTGGTTAGCTGCAAAGAAATTCAAATTGATTTGTCATCATGTAACACAAAGTGTTGCCATATTTGTGTTCAACACGCAACATACATTATCTATCCATAGTAGCATTGTAAAAAGCAAAATATTTTGAAGCACATGTGAAATAAAGTCATTTCTCATAAACAGGTAAAACTGTATTCAAACGTGCTGCATAAACAAAATATTTATTATACTCACAAATTATTTGTATACTCTAAATGTAAAAAAATTACTATATTGCTGATTATTTCTCCTGAGTACAGCCGAAACAATGCTAAAGGGTAGAACAGTACCAGACTAGTTCAACAATACCTCAGGCTTCCTGCAGGGGCATTGAAACAATGACCTCAACGTATTTATTTTTCTTTGTTGTACTTTCTCTCACACTTGGTGATTACTTTACACACTTTACCACTACATGGGAATAAGATGGCAGAGCTGGAAAACAGCTGCAGTTCAGGAAGGGCAGAGGACCTCGTCCCTCTGTAGTAAGACAGAGTCACCCAAACATGGATAATTTGGGTGACAGTAGCAATGACAGTAAGGATATGGGGAAGGCAAGAAAGGAAAGGATAGGGGAAGTTTTAGGACATCCTGACTTATGTTTTGCCACCAAAATAGAGACACTTTGGATGCACTTCATGATGTTTTTTTCACCTTGGCTCAGCTGGGTAATTTTCATCATGTTTCTGTTTGCATTTCCAAAACCTTCTGAAGGGAGAATGTATTCCTTTCACATGTATTTGTTCTGCTGGGTGATGCAGCTACAGCTCTTCTCCAAAACCACCGATCCAGAATCCCCTTAACCAGTCACATGACTGTAGTAGAACTTGATGCATATTGCCATAATACCTGTTCCAATTTGTGATTTTGAGAACCTTTCATTGGTAGGTCACAAATACTCATTCTCATTTACACATTTCTAGGAAAATATGAGAATGGAGGAAAAAGAAAAAATGCTTCTTCTGACCTCCACCCAGCATCACCACCATTCTTAGAGGGTTTGGGGTTTAGTACTGGCTAGAAATAAAGTACAGGATAGTGTATTAAGCAAAGGTCATGATGCAGAGCAAACACAAAAAAACCAGCCCTATATACATAAAATATGACCTTCAGGTAGTAGAAAAAAAAATAATCCTAATTACAGCATTCTGTCATTTATCAATGCTTCTACCTCATGCTTAGCAGGAAAAGATACTTGAAAAGTCTAGATGAATGTAAAAGAGAACCAGATAAGTGATTTCTGAGGCACAAGCTGGATTAAATTTTCTTTTGTTTTCTTGCTGACCTGTTCTTAAGGATGAGTTTAGAGCAGGGACAAACTTCTGTTGTTCAGTAAAAGTATCCCATGGGGTATCAGTCATGGAGTATGCCTGAGCCAGAACCAAATGTGATTTATAGTAGAGCTGGTGTTTATTGCTACTAAAAGAAAAAAACTATAACTGCATATAAATTTAAAAGTAAGGTGGAAAATTTTGATACTTTATGGCACAAAGAGTTCTTTATAGGCAACACTGCAAAACATACTCTATATATAGGCATATAAAAATGGTGATTTGTTCTGTGTGGACAGTTAAATAAAAAAGAAAGGTAAATAAAAGGACACCTTTTCTTCAAACTTTATTTACAGTGTGTCATTATGGAATAGAATCACAGAATGATAGAGTGGATTGTGTTGGAAGGGACATTAAAGATCATATAGTTCCATCCCCCCTGTCGTGGGTAGGGATGTGGCCCACTAGATCAGGTTTCTTTAAGTCCCATCCAACCCGCACCTGAGCACTCCCAGTAATGAGGCATTTGCAACAAGCAATGAGGCAACTTCTTTCAATGCCTCACCACCCTCACTGTGAAGAATATTTAAGTAACATTTAATACAAATCTGTGCAGTTTTGTCTGGGGTAGAGTTAATTTTCTTCACAGTGGCTGGTATGAGGCTGTGTTTTGGAATTGTGCTGAACACAGAATTCATAATATCAAGATGTTTTTGTTATTGCTGAGCAGGGCTCACACAGGGCCAAGGCCTTTTCTGCTTCTTGTGCTGCCACACTGGTGAGGGGCCTGGGGGTGCCTGGGAGGCTGGGAGGAGATACAGCCAGGACAGGTGACCCCTGGTCAGTTGATAAAACAGATATTCCAGATAATGTGGCATCATGCTCACAATATAAAATAGAGGGAAGAAGGAGGGACATTTGGAGTGATGGAGTTTGTCTTCCCAAGTCACTGCTGTGTGTGATAGGGCCATGCTCTTCTGGAGATGGCTGAACACTCGCTGACCCATGGGAAGCAGTGAATTAATTTCTCATTTTGTTTGGTTTTGATTTGCTTTGCTTTTATGTGTGGCTTTTACTTTCCCTGTTGAATGGTCTGAACCTCAACCCACAAGTTTTCCAGTTTTTACCTTCATTATTTTCTCTCCAATCTCACTGGTGGGCCAGTGAGAAAACAGCATGATTGCTGGCTGGCATTAAACCACAACAAAACTTTTCTAATTGCAGCATAAACTCATTCATCCTTGCCCTATCACTACCTACCTTTATGAAAATAATCTCTCTGGCACACCTGTAGCACCCTTTAGGTGCTAGAAAGTGCTACAAGGTCTTTCTGGAGATTTTTCTCCTCCATGTTGAGCAAAGCCAGCTTTCTTAACCCTTCCTCTTAGGAGAGGTGCTGCATCCTTCCAAAGATGATCCTCCATTTTGATCATCTTTGAGGCCCTCCTCTGAACCCAATCCAACAGGTCACAGAATGACAGGCTAGATTAAATTGGAAGAGACTCACAAAGATCATCAAGTTCAACTCCTGGCCCTGCACAGCACCAACCAACAGTTGCATTATGTGTGTGAGAGTCTTGTCCAAATACTTCTTAAACTCCATCAGGATGCTTACTGTGACCACATCCTTAGGGAACGTGTTCCAGTATGAATCCACACTCCAGATGAAGAACATTTTCTTAATATCCAACCTAAACCTTCCCTGACACAATTTCAAGCCATTCCATCAGTCTTATCAGTGGTTCTTACAGAGAAGAAATCAGTGCCTGCCCCTCCTCTTACCCTATAGAGGATGTTGTGACTGCAGTGGGGTCTCCATCAGTCTCCTCCAGGCTGAACAGACCAAGTGACCTCAGCTACTCCTCATGTGGCTTCCCCTCAAGGCCCTTCACCATCCTTGCCACTCTCCTTTGGACTCTTTCTAATAGTTTAGTATCTTATCCTGCAGCACCCAGAACTGCCCCCAGCACTCAAGATGAGGCTACCCCAGGGCTGTCTCCTCCAATCCCTTTGCCCAGACTAGGAGGGAAATCAAACAAACCATCCCAGAATATCAAGCAAGAAATTGGCATAAAAGAGTTATGCAAATTCCAGGTTTCTCTACCCCCGATAACAGACCCCATTCTCTCCCCAAAGGAACCTTCTTAATTTGTGGTAATCGGGCTTGGGCAGGCATCCCCCCTCACCTGGTCAGAGGTCCATGCACATTTGGGCAGTTGAGCTTGTTTACTCCCAACAAAACACAAGTAGCTCATTGGAATTTCCTAAATCAGACAGGGCAATTGGCAAGGAAAAAAGAGATACTGGACTTACT